CAGCAATCACAACAACATAATTTGTTGTTACATATTTACCGATCACCGGTTAAAGGTACTGGTGGCTTGCTAAATTAACAAAATCCTTTCTCTCAGTGCTATGAGCCTTACAATATACGAAAATATAGAATATCTGAAATCTGAATGCTTAGAAGTTTAAAATAAACAATTATAAGTTGTATTACCAGTAATGTTAATAATATAACTGCAAAATATATATCTAAGCTATACATATATACCTACTTTGATAAAATGCACTTTGATAATTACCGAGAGAATATTAATTAAAATTCCTTGAAAATGCTTTGAACTTAACTCTTTTTACTATAAAACTGATTTTGAATTAATAATGCTAATATGGCCATTAAAACGTTAAGCAACAATCTATATTTATAATTGGTGGAATTGATTATTACCCGCTATTATTCGATAATAATTATATATTTGTAAGACAAATATTTAATAATATTCAATAACATTATTGCGTAAAATATTTTAAAATGAATGAAACCACTGAGTTACTAATTTAACTAATATAAAATTCTTATCATGAAAAATTACGCTTGTATCATTACTCCACATCGAAATCACATACCTATAACGCGTGAAAGTATTGCAAAATCTGTCTTTAATCACGCGTTATATCATGACCATTATATCAAACATTTGTTTAAATGTCTTTTGCCGCAGCTTCCATTAGACGAAAATATTTATAAATTTAATTTTATATTCGATACTTTTCTTACAAATATAATAAAAATTACATTTTTATACTGAAAAGTAGAAGATTAATGTGTAACAAATTTTTCGAAAGGATAAAACACAACTTCTTCAAACTCAAGCGTACGCGCGTGTTGCTGTATTTAATCCTTTAATTTTCAAACGATGACGTCGCAGCCTAATCAAATCGATTCTATGATTCGCTTAACACTTGGCGTTGCTAAAAATAAAACGATCACAGTTACATGCCGGTGACGTTAAAAGTATTCATTAACACGATTTTCAAAGTACATACAAAGAACCGAGTTGTAATGAATTATAATCGCAATCCAAGACCGTAGGCGAGAGTAAAGTCCATCCTCAGAATCCATATAGTCACATATAGATCTCTAGCTATCCAAGAACTAAACCTCGATTACTCTACATACACCCCCGGACTTCGCGCCGTTCTTTCTTCTATACATGAAAAACCGCGTGCACGGCGCTGGGGAAACTTTGGTTTACTAAAGTTTCTCCGAGCGTTCTGTAGCACCGTCGATTAAGGTGGCAGATTAGCGACTACAAATTGTCCATTGAGCGAACATTCGCCGAGAGACCTAAATTGTCGTTTCTTCGTAAACGACCGCTTCCATTTATCGATACGAAATTAATGCAAAAATCTATTATTGTCCGTGACGTTGTCGCGCATGGTCGCCCACGCGTTTTGTCGCCGTGAAAAAGAGATTTCGTTCAAACGAGATGGAAATTGCTTGAAGAGCATTATTCAACTGTCGTTTTAAAGCGGAAAGAAAATTCAGTTTTAAAAAATTAATGGAAAATATAAATAATATAAGTAAAGTTTAATTAATTTTTTATTGTTAAATTAAACAACATTGAAAATATATACTTGCTTCAAAAGGACCTCGATAATCGAACTTACTGATTAAGAAAGTATGTTTTTACAGATGAGTTAAAGAGAAATCAAGAGACGAAAACAAGCGACGACAGAAAAGAAATAATTACAACTCATCGTGACGTCAACAAGCAATTGCCAGTTATTTGTTCTCTTTACAGATAAAGGCGGTAAGAAACTATCAGCGGTACGTCTATAATTGGCTTCACATTGAATCGGTAAGACTGAACCTACGATTGACAATGAACAGCACGACCGCGATCCGTCGTCGCGAAGAAAAGTGCAGCAGCTGACAATATCAAGAAGCTCTATGTCGTCATAAATAATTAACGGTTACATTATTATTGTCATCTCTTTCTTAAGCATTTGAAATTGAGGTCAAGTGAGCTCCAGTTTTCTATACCCAAATGAGTGCGCTGTTATATTAGTTTCAATACGGAAGAAAGTCATAAAAGTCAAGTCATAAGAGACTGCAAGCATTTCTTATGCTTCTTATCTAATAAAATTATCCAAGTATAAACATTATTTTGAAGTAATTATCTAAATTAATAACTAAATGTCTTCAATATAATATTAATAAATAGATAATACAGCAATAATATAAAATAACAAATATTTGTGGCGACCAAAGATAATATATCAAATAAACGATTTTCACGTGGATCTCTTTTCGTAGTGAAAGTATTAACCTTGCTGCGGGGCACAGAGGCTCTCGAGGCCGATACTGGTCCTGCTGGCGTCGGCGCCGTGTTGCAGGCCAGCGATGCGAGGCGAGGCGAAGCGACGCGACGCGACGCGACACGGCGCGACGCGACGCTCCGCGTCGCGACGCACGCCGCGACGATCACGCCGCTCGGTCTGCCCGGAGGAAAAAGGGCGAGGTAGGTGCTTGGCTCGTTTCCATGACAACCAATCATTACCGGAGATTGTGCCACCAGCTACTGCGTGCACCAATCCTCACCACGCTAACTCCCTGCCGCTTTTCCAACCCCTCATCGTAAAACGGGGGTAGCTTTTCCGCTCACGTGCTCTTTACAAGATTATACCGCCGAAGCACGACGATTATTTAACGTCACGCTCTTGTTCTTGCGCTGCTCGTCCCTTTCACCTGTATATGTCGGTCACGATCACAGATTATATATTTGAATATTACATAAAGGTTCGCGGCTTCCATTAGTCGAATATTGCAAGCATCAATGAAATAGTGTAATGCAAAAACGCTCGACTTTAATAAAAACAGAATTATATTTTATAAATATTTCAATATTAACATGAATTTATTTTCTGCTATGAAATAAGTAATTGTAATAGTGAGAAAATCTTCATCATTATGCATACGGTAAATTACATACAAGTGATATACAAATAATTTCTAAAAAATACATTTAAAAATATCCTCGTTATATTTTAATCAAGAATTCTAACAACAGAATCGAAAGATAAAATTAGAATTAATCTTACATTGGAGAAAATTTCACGAAAGGTCATTATCTGTTGCAGCTTGTTAATATTCAATGCGCCAACCGTATTTTATCGTGCTTGGCTAGTGATCGTCTTGGCGGAGAAGTCCGGGCGTGGTTGTAGTTTACTAAAACGAGCAACTGCGACGTGGTTCTCTCTGGCAGTAATGCGCGACATTAATGGTACATAATTGACAAAAGTTCACGAGGAATGCAATATACAGTGTCGCATCTTGTCGAGAGATGCAGAGCTATGATCGTACATTCTGTCCCGATCGCGCTACGAGGGAAAGTGACAATAAGGTAGTAAGATGCCGGATAAAGAAATTCTCGGATGTAAACAGATGCGGTGCGAGTGCGTAAAGAATATGTATATTGCATCGAATGCAATGCGTCAAACGACTTCACTCCTGTGCGATGCAACGCAATGCAATTTTCATTTCACGCTTAGCTATGAGACTCAGGAAGCGGAAATTAAACTACGAAGAATGGATTCATTATTCTGTAACAGAAAACCTATTTAACTTCATTCGATTCGTATTACCGTCGATGTAATTTTCCAAAACTGTTTATTCCATTCGTGAAATAATTTAAGATCTTAATAAACTCAAGGAAAGTATATCCAGTAATAATCGCATATATACTGTTTTTATAAACAGTAGTTTTTATTTAAATATAACTATCACATTAATGCGTAATTCGTGTTAAAAAACGTTCCGAATAATTCCACAAACGCTATTTCATATAGCAAAATCAATTTCTAACGACACTGTTCTTCGATACCAAGTGTACGAATATTATTCTACGCTAAAAATAACGATGAAAGTTCTCCTCCCATCGGAAGCGAGCTGAGATTTAAATTTCTAAAATCGCACGACGAACATATTACGATGGTCTCTGCATCTTCGTGGATTAACATATAAAGCTTTCTCTACAAAGATAGCGAAGGAGCAAGAGCGAACGTAAGGTAAGAAATAAACTATGTAAGAGACGAGATACAAGAAAGATACGCGTCGTTTATTTTTAAGCCATTAGCCCTTTCTTTATTAAAGAAAAGATTTGAATTTTTCATGAACTTTACTCGTTTAACTACACGATACTTTGTCAAGAAATGAAAATCTTTGTATAAAAAAAAAGAAGCAAAAAAATATGAGAATTTGTAAATCATAAACATAAAAAAATAAAATTAATTTGGCGAAAGAAGAAGCATTTCGTAATAAAAATAAGTATTAATTTAGGTAGCTCTCATATTTTCCGATTCAAGATTAAGTAAGTACATTCTCGCATTTTGTCACGGATCTTTCTTCTTTGCATGATATTGCGCCGTAAAGAGTACTGTAAGATAAACAGGAAAAAATGTCATTGGAGGAAGGACACGTGAGACTAACAGCAAGATAAAAAGGGGAGCCGTGCAAGAGTGAAATGAAAGATGGAGATGTTGGGGAAAAAAAGACTCGTGAGG